AATCTTGACTTTTGATTAAAAACTGTAAGTGATTTTCTAATTTATTTATCTATTTTTTTTATTTTTTTTATTTTTTAAAGTTTGTTGACTGACTGACATAAGGCCAACTCATAAATAAATTAGAAGACGACTATAATTTGCCTTACTTTTTTTAAATTAAGAGGTATCTTTATCTTTAGCAGTGTTTTGTTATAGAATGAATGCTTACAAAACGAAAGAAAATTTTAGGTTTAACTGATTTTCGAATATACCGTAACAACCAGGGAGATGCTAAAATATATACTTCAAAAAATGTGTATGTGGTTTGTTTTTGATAATTTTTTTTTATAAAATTTCATAATTTAAATAGAAAATGATACAACCTTTTTTATTATAAAAGTCATAATTTTTTTTATTATAAAATATCATAACAAAAATCATAAAGTATCATAATATTATTATTCCTAATTTTAAAGTGCACGTCATAAATTTATTATTCATAACTTTACTAAAAAATAAATATCATAATACCCACAAAAATAATTTTCTTATAATATCTTTGTAAATGGTGCCGGTCGTAGATTTCCCATCAACAATTAACAATAGAGATATGTACTTTCTTGTCAAGGAATCCACGCTACTGTTCTATCTATTTATTTTTTGAAAAATCATTTAGATTTCTAAAAAAAAAAATTCTAATGGAGCTTTAATTTGTCTTTTTTTTTTTTCTCTTTTTTTGTCTTTTATTTCACTATTTTTTTTTTTTTATTATTATTCATAGACAGCTCATTAGAGCTGTACTGCAGCAGCTCTAATTAAAGCTCTGCAACAGTTCCGTTATTGTTTAATTTTTATTTTTTATTTTGGATAAAAATTAATGATTAATTATTAGATTAATACTTTAAAAGAGTTGAAACTCACACTTATACACTTTGCAAAAAAATATTGCCCTCATATTTCTTTCTTAAAAGTAGAACCGAAAACCTCTCCTTAAGAGCATCTCCAATGGTAGTAGGCATTTTACCTATCTAAATATTACTATAAAGTATACATTTTATTTTACCAGTCAACTATTTCATGTTTCTACTTCAACCATACTCTTTATTTTAGCTATTCATCCAAATACTATTAACTTTATAGAATGCCACGTCAGCAACAAAGATGGAGGGAAATAATCTTATTGATTAAATACATTTTGCCTAGTCTTGAAGGCTAGCTACATGTAGCTAGTGAGCATCTCCAATGCACTAGGCATATAACACTTGTTAGTTAAAATGCCTAGTGTGATTCACTTTTTTCAATTCCAATGCACTAGGCATATGATTAGGCATTTTGCCTCAACTCATATTCACTAGCTACATGTAGCTAGCCTTCAATGCTAGGCAAAATGTATTCAATCATTAGGATCATTTCCCTCCATCTTTGTTGTTGACGTGGCATTCTATAAAATTAATAGTATTTGGATAAATAGCTAAAATAAAGAGCATGGTTGGAGTAAAAACATAAAACAGTCGATAGGCAAAATAAAATATATACTTTATAGTAATATTTAGATAGGTAAAATGCCTACTACCGTTGGAGATGCTCTGAGCTAAGCCAAAATGCCTAATCATATGCCTAGTGCATTGGAGTTAAAAAAAGTGAGTCTCACTAGGCATTTTGACTAACAAGTATCATATGCCTAGTGGGTTGGAGATACTCTAAGAGAGATTTGGTGACTAAAAAACTAATCAACTAGATAAGAACCCGTTACTTATATCTATCTATCTTTTATTATTAAAAAAAAAAAGGACGTTTAGAATCGTATTATTAAAAAAAAAAAAAAAAGAAGAAGAGACGTTTAGAAGTGTTTGTGTTTCATTTTTTTAAATTTTTTTTTTAAAATACTCTAATAATAGTTTGAATTTATTTTTATTTTTTTTAAATCTCTGAATTGTTGATATTTTTCTATTCATAAAATGTTTTAATTTTCATTTTTTGAATTTAATTATATATTTCAAAATCTTATAATTCTGATATATGTACATGTATCGTATGTATCCATTGTTTCTAATATATATATTTATATTATTATATAAAGTGAACATATTAGTTGGCGTAAAAAAATATAAAATAAAATAAAATAAAATAAAGATTTGAACATATAAGACTTTAGAGTCTACAAAAAACACTCTTACCACTTCAATAATACATAATATATTATTATTACTATTTTATATTTATTTATATTACATACGCATCATGCGTGCCAACCATCTCTATAATAAGCGAAGAGGGTTTTTGAATTTATCCTAGAGACAATTATCATACTAGGACATTTTAATGGCCATGATTCATTTCTATATTTCGATGGATAGCTGAGATGAAAACTTTCTCTCTCACTCTACCTGAACTTCCTGCCCAAGAGCCATAAACTTTGCAACCATCCATCCTCATCTGTCGCACCTCACCTTCCCATATTTTAAATTTCAAAACACACCAATCCTCATCTCCTCTTTTTGCAACCACCCATCCTGATTTCAAAATTTCAAAATTTCAGAAAATCTAACAACCATCCATGTTGATTTCAAAATTTTCCACGCTCAATTTTGCAACCACCCATCCTCATATCGTTTTTTTTTTTTTCCTTTCAGTCTCACTCCTAATTTTCAAATTTCAAAACACCCACGCTCATCAAACTCTCAATAAACTCTCATCTCTTTGTCTTTCAGTCTCACTCCCAATTTTCAATTTTCAAAACACCCACCCTCCCTCACACGCACTCTCTCTCTCTCTCTCTGTCTTACTTCCCATCGCAACACCGGTACATCTCTCTCCGACGGTGATACATCTCTTTCCGACGACTCTCTCACAACCCAGCCATGGTGTTGCTCATCACCTCCTCCAGTTATCGCCACCGCACAACGCCATTTCCTCCAATCATCTCCACCGCTGCTGCTCATCACCACTGCCACAGCTCATCATCGCCGTCGCCATGGATGGATCGACATCAGGCTACTGCCAACATTTCTGGAGAGCTCCCCACTCTCCTCTCTGCCTTTTTAACTCTCCATTCTTTCCTTACACACTGTCACGCTAACTTGGAAAGAGAGAAATCACATCCACACGTGTTGTGTGACTGTTTTTGAGAAAGAGAGAGAGAAAGAGAGACTGAGATTCAAGCGTTCGTACTCCATTAATGCTTCTCAGTAAAAAAGCATGACCTGTTGCTTTTTCACAGAGAGTCCTGTTTCAAAATTCACCTAATCAAGTGACGCTGGAGATTTTCTCAAAGCTTGAGCAGAAGTGGCTCTCTCACAGCATCGACGGAGGCATAACCACCGGTTTTCTCGCTGGAGCCGCCTTGATACACTTAGAGGATCAGATCCGAGCTAAAATCGGCGAGTCTCATTCTCACATTGTTGGGGAATTGATGGACAACATGTGGTTCTGTGTTTCTAACCATCAAATTGATTTTTTTTTTTTTTTTTTTTTGAACACACAACACTTGAATCATATTTGTTTATGTATTTCTATATACATAGAGAGAGAGAGAGAGAGAGAGGAGGCCTTTTTTTCGAAGGTTACAGGAGTTGTATGGTTTTTGGGAAGAGCAATACTAGGTATAATGAAAAAACTTTCATGAAAATGATCATGAAAGATTTATGACCCTTGGATTACACCTAAAATAAAGCACTACACACTAATTAAGGTAATCCAATGATTATAATTCTTTCATGATCATTTTCATGAAAGTTTTTTTTCATAATTCCTAGTTTTTCTCTTTTGGGAATGGTTTGATTGTGGAGAGATGGAATGAGGTTTGCGTTTAGAGAGAGAAAGTTTTGGAGAGAGAGAGAGAATCAGACTATTTTGTAAAGAAACCTGTGCCTGCAGGAGATAGAAACGTAATGCCATGAAAAAGGTTTTATACGTAGTTTGAATCACACGTGTAACAAAACACTCACCGAGAAGAATCCTATACTTTTTAAGTGGATCCATTAAGTATTATTTATTAAAGAGTGTTTAAATAAAAAAAAATGGTGTTTTTTTTAATTTAAATAAATAATTATAGTTTTTTTAATATATTTTTTTTATTTATACTAAAAATGTAGTCTCTAATTAAAAAGAGAAAGTGAGCCAAAAAAAGAGACCAATCTAAGACACAATAAATAATTGGAAAGATGAGTGTAAGATTGTTAAATTTTTTATAATTAGATATGATGTAACTTATTTTTGATTAATTTGGTAGATTAAAATAATTATGAATTTGATATTATTTTAACTTATTTTGTCTTTTAATATTATTTTAATCAAAAAAATATTTAAATACATACGACTCAAATTTTTTTTTTTTTTGATAAATACACTAAAGTTTTTATATGACTCAATTCAACCACATTTTAAAATTTTAAAAATGTGTTAACACACCTTTGTTCAATTCTGTATTAGTAACTATTTTAAATTCTATACTTTGTTAGATGGTGAAATTCTATAAAAAGTTCAATAAAAATTTCAAATACAAATTAATATTTTAACTTAAACTTTTAGCAATGAATTTGATAAATTATATTTTAACTTAAACGAACCGCCATCATACGATACTTGCTGAAGTCACGGCCGGCGGTGGTGTTGCCGTAAATGGTGGTGGAAGTCTTATGTATGGAGTTTTATATTACAGTGAAATTATTGTCATCATGAACTGATTTATTATAATTGATTTCTATAACAGTGAAATTATTATCATTTTAAATTGATTTTTTTGTAAAGAATGTGATACCAATATTAATAATTTATATTAATTGATTCTTGTAAAATATATTTACCAATATTATTTATACCGTGCCTTCAAGCACGAGCGGACGTACGTTAGTTAATACATATCATACATGAATGTTTTGTTTATAAAATATAAATTTTAATTTTAATATAAATATATATATATATAATAGATTAAAATGATATTTTTTTAAATTAAAATATAACTTTATGATAATCTCAAGTGAATATGTGGATGAGAGGAGTCCATCTATGCCAAACTGTGTCTCTTTCTCTGTTGATAATTCCCATTCCAAAAGGAGCTGAGTGGGAGAGAGGAGAGAGATGGAAGAGGGATTGTTGTTATTGAAAGAGGAGAGAGAAGAGAGGAGAAGATGGGTATGGGGTGAGGTGGGGGAAGAGGTGAAGAGGTTGGGGTGGATAGCTGCACCGATGGTGGTGGTGACTTTATCACAGTACTTGTTGCAAGTTGTTAGTACCATGATGGTAGGCCACGTCGGTGAGCTCTCTCTCTCTAGCTCCGCTATCGCCGTCTCTCTCGCCGGCGTTTCCGGCTTCAGCCTTCTCGTAAGCTCCTCACTTTCTTACTTTATTCATGGTTATCAGAATCTTGATCCGGATCTTACGATCCTACGATCTTACGATCCATTTGAGTGTAATCGATCCGGATCGTGTAAAAAACTCTTTATAGTTAGGATCTTTCGATCTTTGTAGTGAGATCTTATAGGATCGTGGAATCCCGATCCGAATCCGATCCTATCCGATCTAATTTACAAGCCTTGTTTTGTATTGTATGACATATTTTGTTGTAAATTTTATATTTGTTGTCTAAATATCAATTTATGTTGTCAAAATAAATAATAAAAATTAAGTAGTATTGAATCAAATAGACTAAGAAAAACAAACTAGGAAACAAACATTCAAATATTGCGGTAATTTAAGAAAATTAAATAGTCGGAAAAACAAACTTAGCTTTAGCGGAGTCTAAGAAGGGTAAGATGATTGTAACTTTATCCCAATTTCTGGAGAAATTATATCCTCCCAAAATTGTGCTCTTCTCCCATCCCCGATAACTAAGCTTAACTTACTCTTGAAGAAGCCAGCTAGGTCAGGATTATGCCAAGCAACACCCATAATACCCTTCCATATCTGGGAAGACTTGGAATTTACCACAGGTAATGGCCACCAGCCCCTACCAGCCTCGCTGTATTTGCTACAGATCACCTGTTTCCATAAGGCATCATTTTCAGAACCAAACCTCCACCACCACTTCAAAAGAAGACAGTCATTCATAAGTGTAAGTCTCTTGATTCCAAGGCCTCCTTGGCTTTTCCTCTGAGAAATCTCCTTCCAACTGATCAAATGAACTTTCCTTCTAAGCTCATCACCACCCCATAAAAATCTGGATTGAATTTTGACAATTTCCTTTGCAACACCCGCTGGCATCTTAAACAAAGATAAGAAAAAGATTGGTAAACTAGACAGCACAGATTTTATAAGTATCAATCTACCGGCAAAGGAAAGGAACCTTCTCTTCCAAGTAGCCAATTTCTGCTTGCATTTATCAATCACTGGTTGCCATGTCCTTCTTTTTCTTGGACTAGCTCCTAATGGCAAACCCAAGTATTTAAGAGGCAGGCTTTGTTGAAGGCAATTCAATTTGGAAGCAAACTCCTTTGTAAGTTCATCATCTAGCCCAACCCCACATACCACACTCTTATGATAGTTAATCTTCAACCCGGATAGTACTTCAAAACACCTCAAAATCCTTTTGATTGCAACTATCTCGTCCCAATCAGCCTCGCAAAATAGGATTGTATCGTCTGCAAACTGAAGATGGGTGATCCTAACGTCATTTGCGCCTACCACTGCCCCTTTAATCAAGCCCCTCTGCAGAGCTCTCAGTAACAGAATATTCAGAACCTCAGCCACAATATTAAACAGAAGTGGTGATAAAGGGTCCCCTTGACGCAGTCCCCTCTCCGGAGTAAACTCAGATGTTATAGTAATGTTGGAGAATCCTATATTAGTTAATTACGCTTTTCACTAATACAATTTGATTTAAATTTTATTTTAATTTTTATAGTTTCAAATTGAATATAATTTAGTTCATACATTTTAAATATAATTTTAATTTAGTCATTCAATTCAAATTAGAGGTTAAAATTTAATACTTTTTATCAATTTTTGCTAAAATGTACATGTAGGTAAAATTAATAGAAATTTAGATGAAATAACTAAATTAAAACTAGACTTAAAATATAGAAAAAAAATTATACAAATTAAAACAATAGAAACTGAATTACAATTTTAATCAAACTATAAGAATGGAAAGTGTGTAAGTAACGTAGGCCACGTTTTTTGTACACGGGTCTACTATCCAGAGGTATTCAGCTATTTATGCACACGTTTTGTTTTGTTGTAGCTTTTGTTTTGTTTTTTTTGTTTTTGTCATTTATGTGTAGTTTGGAATAGTCTCCAACTACATCACGTAAATAACGTGGGCCAAACAAATTTTTTACCAACTAAAAAAATATAATCAGTATTTTACAAATAAAATAAAAAGATGTATTTGAAAATATAAAAAAAATATTTACAATATTGCCCACTTGTACATAATTTCTATTTTCTTATAAAAGTATCATCCTTAACACCACAAAAATCACAGAATAGGTGAATTTTATTTATTACAAAAAAAAAATTAAAAATGTTACGGACACCAAATATTTACATCACATAAACAACGTGGCCCAAACAAATTGTTTACCAACTAAAAAAAATTAAATCATTATTTTACAAATAAAATAAAAAAGTAAGATGTATTTGAAAATATATAAAAAAAATTCTTACAACATTGCCCACTTGAACATAATTTTAATTTTCATATAAAAGTTTCATCCGTAACACCACAAAAATTACAAAATAGGTGAATTTTATTCATTACAAAATATTTTTTCAAAATATTGTGGACATCAAATAAATTATCACATATTCTATTGAACCTCTCATATTGTAGTGGGATTCACACAAATCGCATGTGTGCAGGTTTTACATCCATATGAAAGATTTGATAAAAAAATTAATAATTTATTTAAAATTTCTAACATTATTCAATATTTTTGTGGGACGAAGAGAGTTTATATTGTTACAAATATGTTTTGGAGTGAAAATCTAAAAAATTAAAAATAATAATAAAATATCACAAAAAACGTATCTGCCACGTCTGTTAGTATGCATGCCTTTCACATTAGTCAAAGTCCACAATAGTTGTGAATTCCACCAAAAACAAAAAAACAAAAACAAACAAACAAACTAACCAAAATTCAGAATTGCCATTCCACATGAAGTGACGTTGCTCTGCACGTCTGGAACAATACATTGAATCTCACACTTTTCGATTTCCACCAATGGGCAAAATTGTAGGGTTTCTAATTTTTTTTATATTATTTTTTTAATACATTTTTTTTAAAAGCAAAATTAAAAAAATTATTTTAAATATATTAATTTTTTTAACTCATATTTTAATTAAATAATTAAAAAATTATTAAATTAACTTATTTCCAACCGAGTCTTAATAAACAGACATGTAACAGTAGTTGTATGATGTTTTAGCGTCTTATGCATTTCAAAATATATACATATATATATATATATATTTGAAAAAAAATAATTGATTAATGTAAGTTTGGAAATCCGCAAACCCATTTTATTCCCTAAAATGAAAAAAAAAACCTTTAATGTTGAAGGAAACTTCGGTAGCAAATGAAAACAAGTTCAGATGCAGGCACTGTTTGTTACAGTTTATTAATGTGGTTTGCAGTTTTTATTTTATTTTATTTTTATTAATTATTTAAAAGGGTTTTGATAGAGACCCTCTCCAATCACCACCCCACCACCCCACACACACGTGGCGGATGGTGATTGGAAGAGAAGGAAAAAAAAAAAACAATTGACCAATCATTTTAAAAGGGGGTCAAAAAGTGTGGAGGAAAGAGGGTCTGGAACATTTTTCTATTTAAAAAATATGTGTTAGGGGTCTATTTTTTTTATAACTAATGAGTAAGTTAAAAACAACCTATTAAATTAATAATAAATTTCTAATTAAGAACTTCAAACTTATAACAAAATACATCAACCATAACCAAATTTTTATTAGTTTACTATTGTCTATTATTGAGACAATGATTAGACATTTTTGAAGAATTATGGAATATTATTTGCATGATATTCTCAACCGATCAAAAACATATATACACTGAGTTAGTCGTCATTTATTTTCAAACGAATGTGATTTAACATATTTCACTTGTAAAGTTTTGAATTGATTTAAAACATCATTATATGATAGTGGTTGCATGGAGTTTTCATGTAGTTTTAGAGGACTTGACAAGATGGAGAAAGGGATGTCTTAGATATTTCTATTTCTATGTGTAGTGTATGCATCAAGACTGTACGAGCACGAAATAATCTTCTTGTATAATCTTGTTGATGAAGTTTGCATTCTTCTAAACATCGTCGCTTTACTTCTTGAAAACACAAACATGTGCTAGCCGGCGGGTGTGTGCTGGATATCTTTCCAATGCCTAAGTCAGCAAATAGACAATAGACAAAAAGCTCTGTGTTTTTTAGAGTAGAAATTGTGATACCTGTACATAGGTCCGCTTTTATAGATTCCGCTTGGCACAATCCTAGTAGGACTTCAACTCTCTTTAGTAGAGTCCTCCTAGGAATCACAAAGATAATGCTTATCTTTTTACACCCTCCTCACTGCTTAACCAAGTGAGATGGTTCAACCACGGTTTGGTAGCAGTACAACCGAGCTAGCACTGTCTTGCCTTACACCAGTTTTAACCGCCCTCACTTAGCTCGATGTTACCTTAGGCATCATCTAGCTCGGTTCTCCTTCGACATATATCTCAGTCCAGAGTACCCAGACCAAGCTACTAGCAGACATCTCTGACCGAACTGATGGGATCAAAGACAAAGCTATGCAGACCATTACCTCAGCCCATAGCTTGGTCCATTTCAACATCTGGACTTAGCTCGGCCTAAGTTCACACATAAATTACCCTCTCAATTGCCCTTTAATTCCATCGGCAACGCATGATTTAGGATTATTCCTTTCTAGCTAAGCTAAATGTTCAAGCCTCCAACCGAGCTCAAATATTACCGGGCTACCGATTTGCCTGGTCCAAGAACGTCTTGTTAGTTGCTCTGCACGTCGTTTCACTTCTCAAGCACGTCTGAATCGTTTTACATTCCTCTGGACACATGGCTTGCTCCCACTAGTCAAGTACACCTGCTACAACCGTTTTTGTACTATGAAAATTTGAACAGTCTCGCCCATTCTCGTGTCTTTACAAAAAAATCATTTTTTTGAATCAAACACCCTTACTGTTCATCTTCTCTCCCTGGCCTCCTAAGTCTCCACATTCATTCCTTCAATCTCAACCCAAGACCATAGCACCTGCTTCGCTCGTGTTTTTGCTGGCATTCCTACTATTTGGTCTTCGACTTCTTGTTTAAATCTGTAAGTTGCTCAAGCCCCTTCTTCCTGTTTATTCTGC